TCGCCCGCGATCGTCCGACATGGAGGAGAACAGTGAAGGCGGGCGCTGCTATCTACGAAGCCAACCGCATCGCCGCCGCCAAAGTGAAACGCGAAGTCCGCAAATCACAACTTCGCCCAATACGCAACGCCGCCGCACAACCGCTCCCTACGTGTCCTCGATGTCAACGGGCATTCCGGGCACGAATCGGACTTGTTGGACATCTTCGAACCAACTGCACCTCTCGAACTGCTCCAGCCATCGTCCCCGCGCCCGCCTCTTCCTCGTCCCATCTTCCGCCAACTAACTCTGACATCCCTTCTGCACCACCACTTCCATCCTCCTCCTTCTCCTCCACTGCCCCAGCGGTGGCCGTTCAGGCTGCCGTCTCACACATCGCCAACCACGACACAGCAACCGCAACCACCCCCACCTGCACTCACTGCGACCGCACCTTCACCTCACACAACGGCCTGGTCGGTCACTTGCGAATCCATCGCACAGAGACTGGTGAACCAGTGCCTGGAGCACCAACCTACACCCATCGCACTCGCCTCCATTGCCCACAATGCCCTCGCACCTTCCGGCATCGCATGGGCCTATTCGGCCACATGCGCATCCACGAGAGCGGAATTGACCGCAGCCTTGACACACCCACCCCGCCGAGCCCCACTCCCAATCCATCACCTTGTGCACCCACTAACCACTCCCCAGCCGACATCGTCGCCACCGACCTTACCACCCCTCACTCCCCCCCTTCATCCTCCACTTCCTCCTTCACTGCCACAACGACGGCCACTCCGGCGTCTGTAGCGCACGAATTCACCACAGCCGTACCTGACACAACAACAGGCACAACCCCTGCAACCTCCATCAACAGATGTGAGGGCCCGGACTACATCTGCCCTCACTGCGATCGCACCTTCACTTGACGCATCGGCCTGGTCGGTCACTTGCGAATCCATCGCACAGAGTCTGGCGAACCAGTGCCTGGAGCACCAACCTACACTCACTGCACTCGCCTCCACTGCCCACACTGCCCTCGCACCTTCACGCATCGCATGGGTCTATTCGGCCACATGCGCATCCACGACAGCGGCACTGACCGCAATTCCGATACAGCCACGACATCCAACACGCCCAGACCCATCCTCGCCCCACCGTCACACGCGCCGACCACCACCACCGCCACCACCAACACCACTGCTTCCTCTACAGCTGACACCGACACCGCCGACCTCTCATGCCCACATTGTCCACGCACCTTCGCCTCACGCATCGGCCTGGTCGGTCACTTGCGAATCCATCGCACAGAGACTGGCGAACCAGTGCCTGGAGCACCAACCTACACGCACCGCACTCGCCTCCACTGCCAACACTGCCCTCGCACCTTCACGCATCGCATGGGTCTATTCGGCCACATGCGCATCCACGACGATCTGCGGTAGACAACCGCCGGTCACACCACACATTCCCTCACTCCCTACCTCCTAACATCATCACCCCACTAGACGTCAACCCTCACACACCTCATGCACTCAACTGCCGCCTCCCACACAAGTGGGAAGTGTGCATCTCGACTCGGTCCCCATGCGGCCTCGGCTGCACGAGTGACTTGAGTCCGAGACTATCCCGACACGTCAAGTGTCGTGGATAGGAAGGTTGCTGATTGACGCCCGTTCTCGGTTCACGCAGTTCGTCACGTTGTGTGTGTGTGTGTGTGTGTGTTGTGTAGTGGCGGACTGGTGGGCTGGGGACGGGCTGAAGCAGCACCTTCCACGGCCCTCTCACGCATGTGAGAGTCACGCCGTTCAACCCCCGTTGTGTGAAATCCTGGTGTTTGTGTGTATGGGGGGCCAGGTCGTGCTGTGGCGCGCGCAGGCATGATCAGTCGACCATGTCAGCCACCGCGCCCATTCCCCACTCCAGTCTATTGACCGGCTCGGACAGTGGCTGGGGTGTGGGAATGGGAAGGGAGAGTGAGGTCGACGACTCGGCGCATTTTCCTCACTATAAACAATCTGACGCGCTTGAAGCTATCACGGTGCGCTAAAAGCCGTGGCTTGGAAGATTGCCAACTGACGGGGTACCTTGGACCTCCTCCATTACTGGAGGCGGTCCGAGAGTCAGGCTGCAATGGCTCCTTTTTAATGTGGCCTTTATGGCACTCCCATCACAGTGTGGGATCCGAGCCAGGCGTTGGCGGCACGCCCAGGTGCGGCTTCGGCCGTGCCAGCCTCCAAATCTCTGTTGTTGGTTGAAATCCTGGTTATTGTTGTGTGGACCAGGGGGTGTGGTGGAACGCCAAGGCGAGGATCCGTCCGAGCCATCCACCTGCGGCCTCCCTCGTCTCCGGTCTTCTTGACTCTGTCTTGACACCGGGCCCAGGCGGGGGAGGAGGAGAGAGTGTAGGTAGATGCTACGCAAGTCTACTGGCACTATAAACCCCTGCGTAAGTCACCGTCCCTGCTCCCACCGCTGCTGCAGCTGTGGGGCACACGGTGGACATCGTCGAAATCGACGGTCGAACTGTCAGCCGTCGTCAGCCAGTTATACCCCAGCCCGAAGTGAGGCTCGGGTGTTCCACACTTCGAGCTTGGGTATGGCTGGCTGACGACGGCTAATAAGCCAGAAATGGCCATTCCAGTCTCCCTTGTCTTTGTCGGTAATGTCATTCTGCCCTTTATATCATGCGCCGCTGTGCGGCTGCTGGTTGGGCTCGAGAGAGAGCCTTTAATGTACAACGGAACGAGTGAGTTCCGTATGAACGATCGGTGAGCGCCCCCTACCATTATCTGTTCTATGTTTATCAGTGACAATGTCTTTCATAAACTATATATTTTTTAGTGCTATTTTCCCGTATTTTTTAAGCGGCTGATATCATCTGAGCCCTCTTCGACCGAATTGTATAAAAAAGAATTCAAAAATAAATGTGCATCGTTATTTGAAATGAATTTCTTAGTTATTATCTTAAACTCGATAGGGTTTCGATTTTCCCCGATAGAACTTGGAAGAGCATTCCAGATAGTGGCATATCTTATGTAGTAGTCGTTTGACCGTTAGGACTTTGTGAATTTTTGAATCCTTATAATATATCCGATATTTGTGGTGTTTGTGGGGGCGTTTTAGTTTGATTGGAAGACTGTAGCTAGATTTAATGTGAAAAAGGAAGCAAAGGCCTGCTCCGAGTCTTCTTACCCATCAAAACTTTATGATCGCCAGACGACATCTCTGAATATAAGTAATAACGGATGAAACTTGGAAGAACAGTTTCCGGGGGAAAACTCTCTAGACATTTTCGATCTTATAGGGGTCACAGGCGTTCATTAAATCAAAGACAGGACAGCAGTATTTAAGGATTGGAAGAACAAACATTTGATAAAGCCTTAGCCTCATTTCCGGAAGGAAATAATTATGCGATATGAATCCACATATCTACGCGGCTTTGGCAAAGATTCTATCTGCATGAGGTGCTAAAGCAAGTTTATTTGTAAAACTTAAACTTGGGTCTTTTATGATTAAGCATTCTGAGAGTGGGTACTTCTGAAAATCTATGGAGCCAAGAAGTTTTGCAAAACCAAAAAACATGAAACTACACTTGGATGATGAAACATCCATCTGCCATGTGAACCCCATCTGCTTAAGCGTAGTAAATAGACATTAATTTTTTCAACGCAAACGTTTGCAGTGTCCTTAGAGTATGAGTAAACACACTTGAGGTCATCGGCATAAGTAAAAGTTTGCAAATTTCTGGGTTTAGTCGAAATATCATTGATGTAAAGAAGGAAGAGTAGCAGACTCAGAACCGTACCTTGAAGTACGTCACTCGTGATCGAGTGAGATGTCGAGTAGCTATTACCGACCATGACTTATTGATATCGGTTGGACAGATAGGACCTGATGAAGTCAAGAAGAAATGGCCGGATGCCGAGCGCTTACAGTTTTACTAAAAGACGTCTATGGGGCACCTTGTCAAAGGCTTTGCTAAGATCAAAGTAAATAACTACCAATGACTGCCGCTCATTACGAATAGAATTGATCAGATTAAGAAATGCCAAGTGCAGATTTCGCAGGATCGTTCCGGTCAAAATCCATGCTGACTAGAGCTCAGAGGTCGATTAGCTAGACAGAAGTCGAGAATTTTATTGAGAATAATTCTTTCAAGGAGCTTTGCTAGAGACAATGTTTTGTGCACGCCCCGATAGTTATTAACATCGAAGCGAAATCCTGACTTGAAGACGGGAATGATAATTGACGTTTTCCATGTTTCCGGAAAAAATCCCTTTGAAATGTAAGCCGAGAATAAATGACTAAGCAATATGGGAAGGTCGGATGCTTGTTTAATAATCGAATTCGGAATCCCGTCCGTTCTTGAGCAGTGTGAGTAGTTCAAACGACTAATGTGTTCCTAGTAAGATCTGAGGAGACATCAATTGTACTAAGTGTCCTATCTGAAAGTGATCGAAAGAAAGGGACTTGGTCGGACCGAATATTAAGGTGTTTTTTACAGAAATCCCTAAACAACTCCGCCTTTTCAGTGTCATTGATGAGGAAGATTTTGTTATCATTTAGCAGGGGGAGAATTTCGTGCCCACACATAGACGAGGACCACTGACAGAAGATGTTAGCGACGGACGTGCTAGGGTTCGGATCACTGAGGGCAAGCGATTATCTTTGCCTGTCGTGCGCTTGGCGCATCCTTGAGGCCATTTCAAAAGTCTCGGTAAATTTTGAGATGAACTGATAAGGAACTAGTGGATAGGTCACGCAGCTGCCGTCGCAGCTTTTCAGTCGGTTGTGAAGAAAATGAGGAGCAAGGGAATCTTAAGAATAAGGCCTGTGGTATCAACGCGACACAGACTCTAGGATGTCCCTGGAAACATTGTAGATGACGTCACGAAGAATGTTTGAATTTCTACAGGAGTGAAAGCCACACCAATCCAAAGATGTAATATAATTATTTATTAAGTCGTTATTTACGCAATCGTAATTTCGGTAAGTCCGAACGGTGCTGGTCTTTTTTTAAAAGGCAAACAGTAAGCAACAATGGGTTAATACTGGCCACTATCAAGGAGGTCCTTTTTGGAAGCACCAAAAAGAGGGGCAATCTCGTTGGTAAAGATTAGATCTAAAATGTGATTATCTCTTGTCGATGAGCGTACCAACTGGAACCAGTTAGAAAAATCGACAATATCTTGAAAGGGCTTGAATTAAGGCGGACAGATATTAGAAACCCAGTTTATTTCAGGAAGGTTAAAAACCCCAGTGATTATTTTGACATAGAAAGCAGCATCCGAAATTAATTTGAAGATTTCACAGAGTTGTGAATCATTTCTGGCTGAAGAGTTTGTGTGAATGTAGATGCAGCCAATAGTTGCCTTTTTTGCGACGAGATAATAACAGATGCAGAGCAGAAGTTTCCCGTGAATGAGGAGACATCCATGTACAATTTACTCAATAAATATACGACCCTTTCTTGCCTAGATCAAATCCATGCTGACTTGCTAGCTCTGTCACGGCGCAGCTCAAAATTGTCAATAGAATTCGCTCAGTCTTAATGTCGCTTTATGTGTTTTGCACCTGGTAGGCTACTACAACCAGCGGTCTTTCAAGTTACACATAGGAGTGTATGCGCCACCATCAAGGATTAAAGTTTACGCTACACCAATAATCTTGATCTCTCGCCACATGCTGACAGAATTACAGCTTTGAAGCCTTATTTCTTTAAATTTCTATCTTCCGGAAATTAAATTAAGATTCTATCGAATGTTTGTACTTCCCATTCTCGATTACTGTTGTCCATCTGTTGGTTTAATGAACAGGGCTAGTAGTTAAAACATTGAAAATGCGCAAGGAAATTTAACTGGAAGACTCCTAAGCACGGCATGTCCAAGTATTTCCTACACATCTAAATGCCAGCTGAATAATCTAAAATTTCTATGGGCTCGGAGACTAGATGTAGGCTTCTGTCTCCTCTTTCGTGTTAATAATAGTTCAAATCTTCCCCGGATTTCAGCCCTTACCACTATAAGTTGCCCATATGATCTTCGCAATTATTCCTTGATTATATGCCCTCCCGCCTGCGCAACCTCTAAGCGTTCTCTTTTTTTCCTTCCAGGTATGATTTCCTCTGGAATAACTTCCAAATAAATATAAGGTCTTCAGACAGTCTACATACTTTTAACAGAAGGTCGCGCCTTTATCTGAATACCGACTCGATTAGACTTTTATTTTTCTCATCCTTTTTAAACAACTTTCTCTATGGCATTGAGTAAGAGCCGCCGGATACCCAGGACGCCGCCATTAAATTACTGTGTTCGCTCACATTTCTTTCGTTTGTGTGCAGTATCGCTTCCTGGGATCCCTCATCAGGCAAGTTAATTTTTTTCGATTTTTCAGTTCGTGCTTCGTGCCCCTCAATGCGATAAATTTAATGACAAATTCTCCC